TGATGAGGCTTTTCTGTCTCTTATAAAATACGGAGAGTTTTTGTACGATAACCTGATCATCTTTTCACCATCGCTGGAAGGTAAATACATGAAGGAAAAGCTCTGGGGAAAGTATGAGTGCTGTTGTAGCTTGGTGGCATTTTTTGAAAAGGGGTTTTAAAGCATCTTATGAATATTGATCAAGTCATGCGTTTTGGATCGCTTTCGGTCTTGCTGGTAGCTGGTGGCTGCTCTGCAAGACGTAATGATGCTGTGGGTAGAGTTAAGATTAACTGAGCTTGTTTCCAGGCCTTTGCTGTAACGATGATTCTTTTAGCTGTGAGCAAAGTGATTTAGTGTGTGGCTGTGGTTTTCGTTGTGGATGCTTGGGCTTATTTCTGAGATGCGGGCTGCAGCCGATGATAGAGGGGTGAATTTCTGGTCTGCGTTTTCAGATTTTGGCGGAAACATCAATGTGGAAACCATCACTGCTTTCATTGACGGTGGTGGCAGTGTCCTCGTAGCTGCCAGCTCAGATATTGGTGAGTACAAGTACTTGTCAGATGAAGTGGCCTCATGTCAGATGAGGTAGTGTCACGAGCAAACCAGTGTGCGTCAGCTACTTTGTGTAACAGGTACCTTTGCCTGCTTACCTCCTGCAGGGAGCGGATAGCTTATTCCCCCTTTTTTGGAGGTACTGCAAGAAAAAGCTGATGACGAAAGAACGTGCTACCTCATTGGTTTGTAGGCCACAGCCGTTTAGCTTTGCGTTTTGTAGATGCAGTGCAGGAATTCACGCCTGGAGAGGAAAAGAGAACTTTTTCTGTGTCATCACAGCCCTTAAAGCATTGACTGTAATTTTGTGAAAGGGAACCTTAACTGGATGGTGCTCTGTGCGTTCAGTTTCTTGTTGTGAATCTCAAGGTTGTACTGAAATGTCTTGGAGGGCCTGAGCGACAGACTTGGGATAAGACAAGAAAATTGCCTCAGCGACATTGTTGATGGGAATTTAGCTGAGGGAGGTTGTGAATGCGCGTGGTTTGGCTAATAGGGTGCTGAGCACATGTCTGCAAGCTGTACTTGCTTCTTATGTTGACTGTTGAGATTGACGTCGCATCCTTCTGAGCACGCTGCATAACTGAGAGTCTGTTTTGTCCTGCCAGGGGACCCCCTGCGAGAACTGGGTAGCGAATGTGGGATAGAGTTTGATGAGGAAAGGACAGCTGTCATAGACCACCATAACTACGACATATCGGACCCAGGCCAGGTAAAAGTCTTTGTCTGAATATTCTGGGCGTGGCCTATCCTTGAAGGGAGGGAGCGCGTTTTGTGAGGCAGCTTATGTTTTTGGTAGCGAGAAGTGACTTGCAATTAGCTGTGAGATTCGTAGATGAATCTCGTGTCATTATTTCCCTCCTTTTCTTCCTTCTGTTCTCTGCTGTCCCAACTTGCTCCAAAGAAGGTCTTAAATAGCGTCATTTAGCAGCATTCAGCCAAGCTGCTGTCAGGACTGCAGGCAAAATATCCTAATGCTGGGCTCATCTGGGATCTATGCCCTTGGATCTGTCTTTCTGAACTTCCTGATTTTGATCTTTCTGTTGCCTGAAGTAGTTTCATATTGTCCCCGTGTCTCAAGCAGTGCCAGTGGGCATAGTGTTGGTTTGGAGGGGCTCCAAGATGGGAGAGGGGAATTTCAGGTGCTCATGAAGTGCATCTTATTTCAGTTTTATTTCTGGCAGATTAGGAATGAAGATGTTAAGTGTGACACTTTAAATGAGGCAAAGGGAATGTTTAATCCCAGGCACTGATGAGAGAAATCAGTATGGAAATGCACGCAGTCCTATGATGTGCTGCCTTGACATGTTGTTGAGCCTTTTTGACAGTATGTTTTTGGTTGAGGTACCGTTTGAAGCACCTCCTTTTCGTAAGAGTTACCAGATTCACCCGTTCTTTTTTTTTTTCTCCTAGTGTCAGTTTGCTCTAGTGTCAGTCAGTACTTTAAAATTAAAACCTAAATTAAGGCCTGAACTTAACGCATTCTAGTAATTGGCATTGAAATGAAACTATTTCAGCAGTACGTGGGAGCTGTCGTACTTTAAAGATGAAAGTGACTGAATATGGGGAAGTAACTGGTCAAACTCCTGTAGGTGATGCTAGTTAATGAGCAACAATATTTTCTTTATCAAAAGGTGTTTTACGTTTCCTTCTGTATCAGCATGTTTAATCTGATCGTAATTATAATTAAACAAAAAATGCTTTTTTTTCCTGCATTTTAAGGGAATTGTAACCCTTTTTCAAATGCCATTCAATTTCAGTCATCTGTAAAGAAGGAATTGTCACCTAAAAAGGAAACTATTGTTCACCATTCCAAAGCATAAAAGTTATATAGAGTGGGCATAGAATCATTTGCCTGTGCTTTAGTGTTCAGAAGGCAGACAGTGCATTTACCCAGCTCTCTCTTGTTTCCTGGCAGCACACGCTTATAGTCGCAGATGCTGAAAATCTACTAAAAGCTCCCACTATTGTGGGGAAAACTACGCTGAATCCCATCCTTTTTCGAGGAGTTGGGTAAGTGACCTGCAAAGCAGGATTGGCAGGGAGGGTGTAGTAGTACAAGCTGTTGCTGGGGAAGCATCTCAAAAATATTGGTGTTACTGTAAACTAAGTGTGTAGGGGTAGCCAACTGTGACTCTTAACTTTTGAGACCTGCAGCAAGTAATGGGGCTTGTTCTAACTTGTTGACAGGTATTGAGTGAAACTGAATTTTCTAGTTCTTGTCCATTACTTGTCTTTTTCTCAGCACAGACAGTGAAATAAAGTCTTTTGATATTTATCTCCACACTGCACTTGTTTTAGGCTTTTCTGTTTTTCTGGGCTACGAAATCTCTCTTGATTTCCGATCATAATAGAAGGAAAACCTCCCAAAGTAACTCAGTTGTTGACTTTGCAGTGTTTCTTAATGTGAATTACTGCAGCTTGATTGTACACCTCGAAGAAAGATTAAAACATTGTTATTTTGGGCCTGGTAGACTTCTTTAAGCATGCACGTTCTGCCAGTGTCTTGCTAAATTCCAAGAGTGAGAAAGTTTGTGGAGTTTAAGTGGCATAGGCATGTTCCTGTGGGTTTGGGTGGCTAAGGGGGGTGTTCCTGCTGCTCACTGTGCCTCCCCCTGGAAGGATGGTGGCTGATCCCGACAACCCGCTGGTACTCGATATCCTGACCGGCTCTTCTACCTCTTATTCCTTCTTCCCAGATAAGCCTATTACTCAGGTATGTTCAGTTTCATTTTCTCCTCTTTGGGGCCAAACTTAGCTCCCTCGGTTTCAGCAACGTGCAAAAATTCTCAAGGGGTTCATCTCCTGATTTTGAAAGCGGCAGGCCATCATCTGCTTTTGGACATTGCCCTGGGAATCTTTCTTCCCTTCTGTGTTTTGTTGGGAAAATGCACAGCATGAATGGTGCTTTGGAAGAAATGCCAGCCTAGAATACAGCCTATGCTGGAGTCAAAGTATATCTCCTTTAAGGGGTTTTATTCCAGCCAGGGAGGTAGGAGGAAAAAGGCTGCTAATGCTGTTCCTGGTTATTCTTGGCAGTCAACTTGCTTCTAAGCTGCACTTCCTTGTGGACAGTGCTAGCAATGGTCAGAGTGTGTCACCTTGCAGCAAGCCTGTGGCGGTAATGAAATCTGATAACCTGGAGACTTATCTTCCACCACCTGTGAATTGGCTAAATGCTACTTTAAATTTGGATTTGCCCCTCTTCAGTATCCGCACGCTGTTGGGAAGAACACCCTTCTGATTGCTGGACTCCAAGCAAGGAACAATGCCCGTGTTGTTTTCAGTGGCTCCTTGGATTTCTTTAGCGATGCTTTCTTCAATTCTGCTGTGCAGAAAGCTACTCCTGGCTCCAAGAGGTATGGTAACTTGTTGGATCCCTGGCTGAGGAATGTTTGGGGAGCTATTTGATCAAGAAAGCGCTGAGAAACAGACAACAAATATTTGTGCTATTGGAAATACACAGAGTACTTTGCTGAAGAAGGTGAAGACTTGTGTTCTTTGGACTTTAGTGCAGTTGAGGTAGCTAACTAGCACAAGGTGTGTGTTTTCTACTGGTAGCTTTTCCTGTCTATAACATCAGGTCGTTTTTGCATCCGGAACGTCCAAAGGTTTTGCAAATACAATTGATAGCCTGGAGGGTGCAACTGTGATGTGCACAATATTCCATGTCGCGACCTGCTTTCAGCACAAGCATGTCCCATTAATAAGCAAGTCATAAACTAAGTGCTGGATTTCTTTTTAAAATATTTGTCTCCATATTTAGTGACTGCCCAGCAGATTGAAGTTGATGCTTGAGGAGCAAGCATCTGTAGCAGAAAGCTGGAACATAAAGAGTGCATGATAGGTACCTCTAGCCTTGTAGGAAGGAATGCTTTGGAAGGTAATTCCCTTTTTGAACCTAGGCTAGCTTTGTGTTGCTTTCCAATCCATTAATGGCTTCATTTTTGGCATGTGCTGTAGTTTTTCAGAGTGGCTGTCGTACTTTCTCAGCCTTTCTTTGTCTGTAGGTACTCGCAGACTGGTAATTACGAGCTGGCCGTTGCCTTGTCCCGCTGGGTGTTCAAGGAAGAGGGAGTGCTGCGTGTTGGAGCGGTGTCTCACCACCGCGTGGGAGAACGTGCACCTCCAAATGCCTACACTGTCACCGATCTTGTGGTAAGACTGCAGATGATGGGGTTGGAATGTGCTCCTGTTCTTTGGGCAGCAAGAAACATGGAAGCAGATTTGTCTTTGCTTCACCAGTTAAAAATTGGAGAGCTGGATCTTTGTATTAACTCTATCGCTTCCGTCAGGCGCAAGTGAATTAGTGCTGAGAGCGCTGACAGTGGGCCACGGTCATGCGTTAAGCGTCTTGGTCTGGAGAAGCCCGTGACCTCTGTGTTAAATGTTGCTGATATTGAATAGTGACTTTTTTTTTTTGGGGTAACTCTTGTGCAAAAAACTTGAGCCTGGTGGCAGGGCATGTTCTGGAGCTTTTGCTTGGTCATTACTTGTCTGTCTTTCAATATAGAGATTTCAGACTTTGCTGTGGAAAGTAAAATCAAAGCGTATCATTTGGCAAGCTGGAAAAACCATCTTATTGCCTTTGAAGATGATAACTATAAAACCTGTTTTACTGGAGAGGATTCTTTCAGATTTCAGCTGCCTAGGGAGCTGAAAAGTATAGTTGGAGCTATTTCATGTCTCTGTAAGATCTATATCTACATACTTTTTGGCCACTGAGAGCTGATTCGATCATTGATAGCTCAGTTGTGTTTCTAAGAGGGCAAACGTACCTAATTTGCTTTGGAAAAAGAAATTTGGGAGAATTCCCTGATCCCCTTGAAACGTCTGCCGTCCATAGCATCTTACTCTGGCATTGTTTGTCTTTAATGTCCGTTTTTCAGGTATTAGTCTTATGTAATGTGAATGCACTGTGTGTTTGTTCCAGGAGTACAGCATTGTCATTGAAAAGCTCTCTGACGGGAAGTGGGTCCCCTTTGATGGAGACGATATTCAGCTGGAGTTTGTCCGCATTGATCCGTTTGTCCGAACTTTCTTGAAGAGAAATGGTAGGTTTCTCTCGCCTCTCCAGGCTTGGGTTTGCATGTTCTTGCCTCTTGGCGTGACAGTATTTGTAAGAGGGAAGACCTGTTGCAAAGAGGAGATTTCCACAGCTCCTGTCTTCCTGTTTTCTGTGTCAGTTAAACATGGCTGCTTTCTCTTTCATAGGGGGCAAATACAGTGTGCAGTTCAAGCTGCCAGACGTCTATGGAGTGTTTCAGTTTAAAGTGGATTATAACCGACTGGGTTATACCCACCTGTACTCCTCTACCCAGGTAAGTACAGTGCGAATTTATCATGCAAGAGAAGAGGATATCTATTAAAGTTGTTATTGGGTTGCAATGTATTTGAATGTACAAGGAATTTGAGCACTTTGTACTTCCTTATCTTTTGCTTTGCTTTTTGGAGTTCTTTAGTAAGCTCCCGAAATAGACTTCACAAAAAATTGTGATTGTGATTGCCCCTTTTTGGGGAACTTTTGTGCAGCTGCTGAGAACGCCAGCACAGACAGTCTTACTGTTGCGGAGGCTTGAATTGTGCAAATGTTTGTTCCAAAGTAGAGACTTTGGAGCTTTAAAAATACGTGGGATATATCAGAAAGCTTTTAGTTAACAAGGAAAGCAGTGATTTGGTCCAAAAAATAAACAACTCCCTTGCCTTTTTAGTGACGCAACAGGCACTACAGAGCAGAGAGAGTTAGAGCTGTGTGCAAGAGATTATCTTGATCTGTTATGGTGTACTGCCAAACTCGAGAGACATTATCTCCTTTTCTAGGTGTCTGTGCGTCCTCTCCAGCACACGCAGTATGAACGTTTTATCCCCTCGGCATATCCGTACTATGCTGGTGCCTTCTCCATGATGGTAGGCCTCTTCATGTTCAGCATTGTCTTCTTGCATATGAAGGAGAAGGAGAAATCCGACTGAGCTCCCTATGGGAGGAAGAACCTTTTTTCCTATCTCTGGCACCACGCAGAGACCAGCGGCAGTCAGGATCCTTACTATAACTTTGAGGACTGGTAGGTGCCAGACAAGCTACGGCTCTGATTTTGAATTTTTTTTTTTTTTAAACATTTGGGGCCACTAGTAGGAGGGAAAATGGACCAGCTGTTAGAGGGGAATCCATTGCCCAAGGGTTTGGAAACGCAGTGATTCTGGTGTAGTTTGCACCAGGGACCAGTTGGCACTGCTGCTACTCTGTTTGTTTCTTCCCTCCATTGATACGATTTTGATTCGAGATTGACTCCATTTTCAAAATAAAGTCTTGTTCCTCTCACCCTGAAGTGTGAATTGGCTGTTTGGGGCTTTATGGTTGCCCTTTCTTGTAGTCGGGAAAAAATCTTGTGTGATGGGGCTTACTGACTTGCCCTTGCACATGAGCTGTAGCACAGTTACCGGGGATGTAGAGGGAGTTGGAGGGGGACACTTCTGATGAGTCCTCCCCTGTTGCCAGTGCAGAAAATGAGCGTCTTCCAAACGTACGGCATGAAGAACCTAGTTTCTGCTTTCCCCCTCAACAGCTTCTCTCTCTCTCCTAAAGTTCCTTATGGCTGGCAGTCCCTGCCTTGTCCCCAGGCTGGCATGTGACGGTACCAGGATGCTGGGGCCCCATGCCAGCACTGTCACAGCCTGCCCAAGGTTGTTGTGCTCCGGAGCAAAGAGCCATGCTGTGCTGGCAGACTGGTGCTTGCATTGGCCTTGCATTTGTGAGCCCGAAAGAGGATGTTTCATGGTCTTAAGGACTGTGTGCTTAAGTAAGGGATGGGAGGAAGGGTACCACAGCTGTCGTGCTGCCTTCTGCAGCGCTTTATTTTCTGGGATAAGTGTTTTTGTTCCCGTGAGTTGGGTACCCTGGAAGCCACATCCAGAGCTCTGAGGCACATCAAAAGGCACAGCAAGGGGACCACCATGCACTGAAAAGCACACCAACGGGCCTTGGGTGCCCTCCATCCACTGGTGGTTTCTTCCGAAGGTTAGGGATGTTTGCACAGCAAGTTTGGCGTTTTT